GAAGGTGAGCTCCGAATCAAGGTTCCGCGCCAAGACTGTGCGAACCAGATCGCGTCTGTGGCACTCCGCCTGCAGCTTGACGAGTTTGGCGAGTTTAAATTTTTGAAGAACGATGCTGTCATCCCGGAACTGCAGCCCGCGAACCAGACTGCGCCAGGGTATGCGGAATGGACCGTGCATGACTATCGAGCGTACACCGATGGCCTGAGCAATCCCGATTTGTGGACAATCAAAGCAGAAGAGAGACGTGGGTGGATGACGGAGGCCATTCTCCTTGAAAATAATCCTGGTTCATAACCCCACTCCCCGGTTACGATATCTGCTGATTTATCTTAGATCTCACCCAGCCCATCGTCACGCCCTTCACTGTCGCTGTTCCAGCCGTGAATTATCCGCCCGCCATCCTCCAAACCCCCCAGCCTGTACATGGCCCTATTTCGCGGCACTCTTTCAGCGTTCTCAGCTATCGCTACATAGCGGTATGGATGTTTCATTCCACGATAGTTACCTTTTTGATGCGACGACTCACAGGTCGTCAAGTTCATCGATGGGCGTACTGAGAATGTGTTGGCCGGCCGCACCACGTTCGTCCCCGTTTTCCAGGACAGTGCTCAGCCAGGGCCGTACACCCGGAGTACGACATTCGAGGAATCCAGCACCGGACTCAACGACCCGGCATCAAAAAACCGCGACGACGAAGAGCTCGAAAGATGTCTGCCTTTCTCGCAGCGCTCCACCTTTATCGCAGAAATATCTCTCGACGACGGGAACGTCGTACACAAAGGTCTGTATCTGTTGTAACTTTCTTATTCGCCGACTGATCGTCCACTCCTTAGGTGGGTCGCTCAAGGGGCGAGTGACTGTGCGTAGCCTCAAGGCCGGGTTGACGATCATGTACGACATTTCCGTCGGCCTACGAACTCGACAAAAAAACCACTGGGCGCAAGCACAGGCTGCGACTGGCGGCGACACTAATTTCTCCAACGGCACTTTTGCTATGTGCCATCAATCGAGTCTTCGCGACGCCTTGGACGTCGACGCATACGCGCACATTTTTTATGAGGTTGGCGACAAGGTAGAGCGGCCCGGGTGTTACGCTTCAGCGCCCACGGCTATGTCTGCGCTCGTCACTCCCGCGCACCCATACATCGACTTCGAGTTCCAGGTTTCCCAGCCCGTGAATTTTGCCTCGTATTACACCACTGTCGAGAATCATCTCGATCTTCGCCTCACCGTGCTGTACTCTCCGGAAGTTGCTAAATGCGCTGGCCGCTCGAGCTCGCTGACGGAGGAAGAGCCAACCGACGACGACGCCGCCGAGGAGGAGATGTGGGACTCGTACAAGCGGGTCGGGCAGCCTGTCGAGTCGAACTGGAAGCGGAGAATGTACCTCAAGGCGACGGTACCGATTACCGTCCTGCCAGCTCGCAGCACCGCGACGCCGGCTCACCCTGTTGCACATTATCTAGCGCCAGGCCTAGAAGCCCCCGCGCCAGTTCTCCGGAGCGGACCAGAGGCTGAAATGCCCGACACCTTCCCGGTTGCGCAGCCGATCTTTACCGTGGAGGCGCTCGCCGATACCTCTGACCGGCTGATGCAGGCTAGACCGTACTCCCAATTCAGGGAGTGGTACATGAATCGAACGCAGTCTTCGCACCCAGCTAAGGATTATAATGCAGGCCATTTCGCGGGCGTGCTTTGGAAAAAGAAGATTGTCGCAGAAGAAAGAGGGCTCTTGCCCCCTAAAGTCGTTGAGAGAGGAGATATTCACGGTCAACAACCGTTTCACGATGCGGCTTGAGCTGGTGTAGGTGACTCGTGAAGCACTGGGGTAGTACTTGTAATAAATATGTCTGACAGTTGTCTGGACTCCCTTTTTATTTTTATTATGATCGATTCGATTTGTCCTTCGCGGTCGGGGCACTATTATATATAAAGAAGGCTTGGGCCTGAAACTGACGAGCAAAACTTTCGACACGAGATTACTATGTACTCGCGAAAAATCTACTCACACAAGTCGCCTTTCCTTTGAGCTTTCTATCTCGCACCTCTTTCCACCGAGTCCTAGTCTTTTAAATACTCCCCAATTACCTCCACGTATGTTCTATCTAGTGAGTACATAGTTACAGCAATATTCAATTTTACTGGGCGTGCGTGTGTCGTGCTCCTCCTCCAATCGTTCCGGGTTCATCTCAGTACACCATCCTCTCGATCACGACACCGAAGCGAAACAGGGCCTCAGACATCCACAGCCGGCGGCGCTGGCCACCATATTAGCACGACAATGCACAAACAAGGGAGAAATGGAAAAAAGACGCACGACAACATGCGTCCTCCTGCGGGTTGCACTCCTCTGGCGGGCAGAGCACGAGGCACGCCGTGTCAGGGCTGCTACCCTGTGAAGAATGGAACGGCAGGTTTGAAAGAGAGGGGAGGAGAGGAAATAAAGCCATTAATCTCCTGTATCAATAGACGGAGGAGAAAAAGGACTTGCCTCTACGATTCTTTCGCCCCCGCGATACCGCGAGCCGTAGTACTCGGGCTGGATTGTGCACGAGTGGATGCCGTGGTCGTGGAGGGCCTGTGAGTATGTGTTAGCGGATAAAGCAGTGGGACAGGCAGATCGGAGCGGACAACGCACCTTCCGTATCTTTGCCGCGATGGGCATGAAGTCGAGCTCGCGCGACGCGAGAACATGCACGGAGGCGATGTTCTTTGACTCGGAGAGCTGTACGTCAGAGTGAGTGAGATGCCATGGGTACGGAGGAAGAAGCAAGGGAAATATGAGGGCCAGTCAACACTCGAGGAAGGAGAAGACAAGGGTGAGGGAATAACGCACCTGCCAAATGTGCAGCTCATGTAGACTCTGCACACCCTCCACTGCGAGGATCGCCGTGCGCACCTGATCGAGCGATATCGTCGCCGGCACGCCCTGCAATAGGACGAAGGACGCAGAGCGCACTGTGTTACAAGATCATCAGCATGCGCTCCCCAGGCACGAGCAGTCGGAAGTACACACCGAGCGGCACCGCGCTCCCTAGGATAATACATGCGATCACAAGGCTGATTGCGGGGTCAAAGTACACTTCGCGCCCGTTCCACGATGCGGGGGCAAGCATGATGATAAGCCCCGTGCCTATAACGCCGACGTTCCCCAGCGCGTCGCCCAGGACGTGCAAAACAAGCGCACGCATGTTCATCGAGCCCGCGTGCGAGTGGCCATGGCCGTGCGAATCTCCGTGCCCGTGCTCCGTCGAGGGCTTCGGGGTGGATGAGTGGTCGTGTGGGTGGTCGTGTGAGTGTCCGTTGCCGTGGTCTTGTGAGTGAGAGTGCTCGATCGGAGCCGGGGAAGAGGACGAATCGAGGAGTGGCGTGTGCTCACTTGGCTGGTGCTGCGGACTATTAACGTCGTACGAAAGCCCCCGGCGTGAAGTTGACGGAGAACGGGCACGCGCCATGCTGTGCGCGACTACACCGTATAACAATTCATTAGCCTTCGTGCGTCTGAAGGAACAAAGGAAACAGGAGACGCACCACGCGCAATCGACGCGCGCGTCATGACTGGGTGGCCCGGGCCCACCGCCGGGTAGATGTCGTCCTCGCTGTCGGACGCGGTGTCCGAATCTGCTAAAGCTTTGGCCGCGGGGATAGAAGCGGAGGTGGATGGCTTGATTGCTTCATGAGTGTCGGTGTGAGATTGGGAGTGAGAATGGCTGTGAGAGTGGGTGTGTTCTGGGGATGTGGAGTCAGAAGTAGTCGTGTGATAGTAACAAGAACGAGTGGAAGTCGAAATGCAAGGGCTGAGAACGGTCGAAGACGACTTCCAGACTTGGTAAGCATGCCGACTTCGGCCTGCGTCACTGGGTACGCTGCTTGTTGCCTGCGGAGTCGCAGAGTACATCTGCACAGAGCAATAGCGAGGATGGCCAGGCACGGCAAGATGGAGGAGGGCATATGCAGAACAGGAAACTTACCGTGAAATAGAAACAGGCCAACAAGGTTAGATGCGAGCCCGAAACCACCAACGATGATGACCAGCTTGGGGTTGCTAATTTCTACCCGCATGGATATTAACACGATCGCATTGGATTGAATGCGAAAGGCAGCGCACCTGGAGTGCTAAAGAACCTTTCTATTGCCTCCAGCGCGATGGAGAAACATAGCGCTACCAGGAAAACACCGTTCACAAGAGCGGCGAGGATCTCTGCGCGATGCCAGCCATAGGAGTAGCGGGAATCGGTCGCACTTTGGGAGGTGAGGTTGATCGCATAGAGTGCCACGATTAAGCTCATCACATCACTGTGCAAGTCGGTTAGAAGACCGGGTTATGGTTGGGTACTGAAGAAGGGTACTTGAGCATATGAAAGCTGTCTGCAACGAGTGCGAGCGAGCCAACTGCATAGCCTAGTAGTCATCCACGAAAATCAGAATTTCGGTGAGGGCTTCAGACGATTGTGGGTACCAGAGATGAGCTCGACGAAGAAGAAGACGACGTCGATTGCGAGGAGGACTTTGATTTTCGACGAGCGCGACACTGCCATCCTCCGAGCGTTGTGGCAGGCGAAAATAATTAGTCGGTGATGGATGGAGCTTGAAATAAACTCCAAATTGGGAACATTGGTGTTGTTGTGCTGCGTAGACGGTCCACGCATCGGGATTTCCCGTTATTTTCCCACCGTTGCTTTGCATAGTTTTTCGCGTTCTACGCGGATCCTTAGTCTAAGTAGGTTAGCTTTGCCAACTCCGTGGTCTCCTTGTGCTCTCAAATGCGCAAAACGTGAGGGAGTTGAACTCTAATCTTTTTCTGCGCATTTGAGTCACAAATTGAAAGAATATGCCCTCTGTTCGAATTTCACACATTTTCTGAGAACAACAGGCCATCTGGCGCTTTACTACCGTTTCCTAGATACTCGAACGACTCCAGAGCTTCTTTCAAAGTTGTCCCAAGCTATGTAATACAAGCGATCTCGCTCCCAGATCCCGTAGCAAAAAGCATCGATAGCCCACCGCGAGGGTCGAACTCGCAGCCTTCAGATTTATCCGCCTCACAGATGCATAAGAGTCTGACGCTCTATCCGATTGAGCTAGGCGGGCGTGAGCACTGCATGTTTGGCTGATATCTGGTGGAATATGTGACCCCTCCATCTCAATTTATGAGTGATGCCAGTGTACATATCGGAATATTATATCTGGGAAGTACAGGACCATGTTGAATAGTTTCTAGAGCGACGAGAGGCCGGGAGGAAAATCCAGTCGGAAGTCGATCAAAACTGATGCATGTACTGATGGCTCGCTGTTTTTTATTACATTGTTTTTCTCCAGGAAGGTAGATAATTTGGTACCGTCTCAATGGTTTCGATGTCTCGAAGATTGGGCCGCAGGATCCAACAACATCCAGAACTGACGCAGAGCTCTCAGCACACGCACGGATGCCATCAAAAAAAAAGAAAAGGAGGGCCAATTACGACAAACTGATGGCGGCAAGAACGGCATCTAAGTCCTCCTGCTTTTGAGGATTTCCCGCAGGTTCAACGGTCCGGTCCATGAAGCCATTTTATCTGCCGCTCATGTCAGTTCATACAATAAATTACTTAGTAAAATGAACTTGATACTAGAGCCAAATGGATCCACGGCGCCTCCATTTTCGACACACTGAGCATGAACGGTAGAGAACCCTAGTGAAAGCGCAGCGACGATGAGGGTGTGGTACGACGACACTGGCCGATGGAATGGGTTACTTTTCTTGTATTTCTCGATCAGAGAGAGGGCATCAATGGCAGCAAGGAACAGCATGTTGAAATGAAACGTGATTCTCATGCCGCGAATGTGCGGTGAAAAATCATCCTAGTTATACATATGAACCTACTTATACTTTGTACATGGCATTGAGCAATCGACCTTCCTATTCCTACATCACATGTGCCAGACATCCCCACGAAACTGAAGCAAAATACATGAGGTTGAATATAAAGGCGTACAATCAGCGTTCAGGCACATCTTCGAAAAGATGGCAACGCCGATAATGCGCAGACACCGCCGAGCGAACCTCTCGTGGAAGGGCAGATCGAACGATTGAATTTCCACAGAGGTAACAAAAGTGCGTGTTGCATCCCGGAGACATGCACTGCGAGGGAAACGACAGTAAATAAAATGTTGCACAGAAAAGCGGGATAGCTTACCGTCATATGATTGCACCCATCGGACTTTTGAAACGGTGTCTTACATCCTGAAGGAAGGTCAGCGACTCTCAAGGAAGCACGCCGAGTAAACGAACCGGGACAGTGTTTCCATCCTCGGCGTTTCATGAGATGTTCGAGTTCGGACGAGCCATCGCACGAGTGCTTCGGCCCGCCCATAGGGATTGTTTGTTGGCACGATTTGCACCACGCATGATTGCATTTCGGAAGTGGGCAAGCGAGGATCGGTGCTGCTTCATACTCCCCACGATCAACGAACACCGACTCCTTGCAACTAGAAAATTCTACATTAGCTCAGAATGTAAAATTGGTAGATTCGGCATACTGTCGACAATGAAGTAAAATGGACATGGACGCGAGCTGGAGCTCTTGTAGAATCTGATATTCCTTGTCGTCGAGGCCCAGCATCTGAACCAGGTCGTCCGTTATTACTAGGTAACCTATAAATGTTCGTGTAGGTATTTTAGAGCGGAGGACTTACCTCCAGGCTCAACTCGGGCTTGGTCAGTAACACACATCGGGCAAAATATAGGGTAGAGCTTGTCTTTAAGCTTTGAGACGACATACCCCCTCATACAATCTCGACAGAACCCATGGGCGCACTCCGGGACGCGGGAGACAAAGTCCTCGGGACACTTGTCGAGGCAAACCCCGCATTCAATACTACTTGGGCTTCTTTCTGTAGAGCTGCCCGCTGCGCGACCAACAGGGCGTCCTCCTTCTCAAACTCGTGCTGCATTGCTTGTGCTTGCAAGGCATTGTCCCGCTCTGCTTGATCCCAATCCCTCTGCAGCTGCGCAGCAACCGCATAGTCGTCCATAGGAACGTCCTTCGGCGCTGAGGTTACTGCTTGAGCGTAGCTAGAGCGAGGAATACCTCCAGAACGCCAGTGCCCGTGGTCGACATCATTCTCAATTTTCTGCATCTGCGTTGCAAGAAGATAGTCCATGGATTCTGAGTTGGATCGTGGGCGTGAGCGTACGATGTTAGCGGGGCTACTGAAATATTCGAGTGCATTCAGGTGCGATGACGAAGAGGAGTCAAAGGTCGGAAGTCTGGATCGCCCGCTGGTAGATTGCGAGTCATGATGGTTCGCACTCGATGGCCGCGACGATGAAGAAGAGTTCTTCGCGCTACATTGCGCACACGGGCGTTTACTTCCATCCATCCTCCGCTGGACCGAGCGGTGTTTATCCTTCAATTCTGCCAATTCTGTTTCCAAGGATTGACGTTCTCGTATTAAACTCGAATTCTGGAATTTCAGGTCCAAAACCTCAGCCTGTAAACCCAAAGCGACGAGACTAGACTCCAAGACAGCCTGGGTCAATTCCTCCACGCTGTTCGTTGCGCCGCCTTTCGCCACAAAGAAGTGGCCTGAAAAGTTGGCAAGAAGTTGACTTTGCCATTGCAGACTGCGATCGGCGAGTAAACGGCTATCAACGGTGAGCAGGTTGTCGAGACGTTGTGCAGTCGCGTCGAGGGATGTGTTGAGTATGAGGCCTGCACCATCCGGATACTCTGTCCTCGGATGACTGTCGAATATGATGAACACATCTTGCGTGCCCGCCGGCGAGTTGATAGGAAGTTTGAAGCAGGTTATGATTTCCGGCGGACGCGTTATGAGGACCGCAGCGTATGATGGAAGGGATTGAAGCTCTCTGTAAATATTCAAGTTGACAATCCCGTCGGAATGAAAAGACACTCACGAGAGCACCGCTCTGAACCGCTGGAATGAGGGCTCGCCATAACTCGAAGAGATCAGCCTCAAGGACCTCTCGAATACAGGCATGGCTTTGAATATATCCTCTACTTCGAGATGGACGTTGCTGGCCCATCGAGAACATATGGAGATGACCTCCTTCTCCAGACATCAGCTAGATGCCGACGGCGGCCTGAACGCCACTCACCTCGCCTGTTTTCCGCGAGAGCACATCTTGCAGCAAAGGGCCGCCCTCCAATCCCCTTTCTACCCTTCCCAGAACGACCCGAACGAAGTTGAGCCCGGCAAGCCCACAAGAAGCGATGCCGCCACCTTGGTACTGACTGGCGCCAACGTGAGATACGATCTCCTCTTTTCCAGATAAAACCGCCTCGACGACCGGGTCACTCTGTCCACTTTGTTGCTCTGGTATGGGAGGATCTGGTATGGGGAGATCTGGTATGGGGGGTTCGGGCTCAAGTCTTGTCATGACGGAGGCAAGCGCAAGAGACAAGAGGATCGGTGGGCGCCCAGCGGCAATTTTGACAGGCACCCCAAAAATAACTGCTGCTTATTATTGACAGGTTACTTGTACGGCTCAAAATATGGTTCACAGGAGGCCCTGGAGTGAGTACCCTATGCTTTCTAGGCACTCCCGGTTTGATATTTGGAAATTGGGGTAGTTGCTCCATGTCAGGGAAGACGGTCGAATGCAGGGCGCAGCACGCTCCAATGGACGCGAAATTTGCAGCCTGCAGGACGACGTTTCCGTCACGTCGCTACGTTTCCGAGCGCGTTATGGCATTGGCAGGCTCCGGCGCTCTTTGTTGGCCGTCTGGTGGAAGTAAAAACCTGTGAAGAGTCGATCGGGATTTGCCGGAATCTAGATCCGACAATCCCGCGACTAGCGTTTTGTCAACACACTCTGTTTTGCCAGTTGAGACGGTCTGCGGGTTAAGCGATCTCGAGCAATCTCAGTAGTCTCGCAGATATCGTTCTCTGAACCACTCCACGTCATTTGGAAATTGGCTTTGTCCAGAGATTCAAAGCGCCGAACTCTTCCCTTTTGCCACCATGGCCTCACTTCCAGTACTAGACCGAACAGAAAATGCACACATGAAGCGTTCTGAATTGTGGCACGCAGATGGGAGCGTTATTCTTCAGGCGGCAAACACGCAGTTTCGCGTCCATTGGAGTGTACTCGCGCTGCACTCGTCCGTATTCCGCGATATGCAAGGGCTGCCCCAGCCATCCGGCCAGCCTACCGTCGATGGATGCCCTATTGTGGAGCTGTCGGACGATGCTGAGGACGTTGAATACTTACTGAAGGCGCTCTATATCCCGTATGTCGTCTGCAGTTTTGGAGGCGCGTCTGAGTTTTGACTTGCAGGGCTTTTCATTGCGAGGAGGTGCTTCCGTTTCCGGTCGTTCACGCCCTCATCCGCCTGGGGCGCAAGTACGACTGCCAGTATCTCTTTGATTCGGCAATGGCGCGCCTTGTGGCTGAATTCCCCGCGACACTCAAGGACTACGACGCCTTGCCACGCTCGATGCAGACAATCCACTCGTATCGTGGCTTGCTCTTCGACGTCATAACTCTGGCAAGTGACAATACCATTGTGTCTGTTCTTCCGTGCGTGTACTATAAGGTGGTTTTCTCCTGCGCGACTCTGGTAAATTTTAAACAGGGATTCGCTAGGCATGTCTGATTATTTGTTTGACAGGATGAGGTCTTCGACAAATTTGAAAGAACACGGGCTTCTTCGTCCAGCCTTGACTTGCGTAGATGCGCCGTAGGTCGAGAAAGGCTCTTGGTCAAACAGTTTCAGCCAGGCTACACACTTGGATGGGCCCGAAACTGGGAGTTTGATGACTGTACTGATTTAGCACAGTGTCGCGCATCGCGAGAGGCCCTTCTGACGTGTTTGTCCAGGCCAAGGAAATATATTAAGTGGTTCAAGACGAGAAGGAGGCGTCGAACTCGAAGAGGAATTAACCCAGTTTCCGTGAAGAGCGGTGCGATTGTGGAACGAGAATGAAGATTGAGCATTTGGCGGATAAACCGAATTTGAATTTTGCTGAGTTGTTTGACATGCACATCCTCACTACTTTCGTATGCGGTCAAACAAAGAAGACCATTGTGGGGGTTGTCGGGCCCGAAATGATGAAATCAAGCGAGTGACTGAACTCGGTTCCGA